ATTAGAAGAATTAATATTGTGAAAATGACCATCCTACCAAAAGCAATAAAGAGCAATACTGGGGGGATTACTATACCAGATCTCAAAGTATACTACAGAGCCATAGTCATAAAAACAGCATGGTGCTGGCACAAAAACAGACACATAGATCAATGGCACATCTTTGAAGATCCAAACCTGAGTACACATAATTTCAGCCACCTGAAGTTTGACAAAGATGCCAAGGACACACATGGAGGAAAGACACATCTTCAACAAATGGTGCTTGAAAAACTGGATCTTTTAGAAGAATGAAACTAGATCCTTACCTTTCACCTTGCACAAAAGTCAACTCCAAATGAATCAGAGACCTCAATGTGAAACTGGAAACCCTGAAACTATTAGAAGAAAATATTGGCAGTAACTTACAAAATAAAACTGTAGGAAAGGATTTTCTAAATTAGCAGTTGCTCAGGAAACTAAGAAGCTCATTAAACTAAGAAGCTTCTGTACAGCAAAAGAAATAATGTGAAGAGAAAGCCCACAGAATGGTAAAAAATCTTCACCAGTGACACATCTGACGGGTTTAACATCGAGAATATATAACAAACTCAAACAGAATCAAGAAACCAAATGACCCAAGTAAAAGATGGGCTAAAAATCTAAACAGAGTTCTCAAATGAAGAAATAAAGATGACTAAGAAACATCTCAAAAAGTATTCATCAGTTAGTAATTAGGAAAACGCAAATTAAAACCACCCTAAGGTATCACCTTACCCCAGTCAGACAGGCTAGGCTCAAGAGAACAAATGATACCAAAATGCTGGCGAGGATATGGAGAGAGGGGAACGCTCATTCACTGCTGGTGGAATTGCAAACTCGTGCAACCTCTATGGAAAACAGTATGGAGAACTCTTTAAAAACTAAAAATGAACCTACCATATGACCCGGTTATACCACTCCTTGGCATATACCCAAAGGACTCATCCTATTGTAGAGACACTTGTACAACCATGTTTGTTGCTGCCCTTTTCACAATAGCTAAGAGATGGAAGCAACCTAAGTGCAAGCAACATAAGTGTCTCTCAACTGACAAGTGAATAATGACAGTGTGGTACAGTTACACAATGGAGTTCTACTCAGTGGTAAAAGAAAGATGAAATATTGAAATTTGCAGGTAAATGGATGATGGATCTAGAAACTGTTATACTAAGTGAAGTAACACAGACTCAGAAAAACAAAGGATGTATGTTCTCCCTCATATATGGATCCTAGCACCAATTCCTTTCAAATTCCAGGTCCTTTTAATAGGATGATGCTATATGGCCAGGTGTGGTGGCGCATGCCTTTAATCCCAGCACTTGGGAGGCAGAGGCAGGGGAATCTGTGAGTTTGAGGCCATTCTGGTCTACAGAGTGAGTTCCAGGTAGCTGGAGCTACAGGGAGACCCTGTCTCAAAAAGACCAAAAAATAAAAAGAAATAAAAAAAGATGATCCTATACAGCAGTCCCTTCTGCATGAAATAACTACCATCATCACAACTTCAGCTGAGCCTGATCGCTAAACATTGTCACAATTGGGCTTGTTGATGGTTGTTGTGCTCATTCATTAAAGAAGGGCCAAGCAGGGTCATTGGACCCTCACCAGATTATCCAGCCACTCTTCCCTTCCAATTGTACGTAATTTGACCCTAATCACACATGGCCTCCAGGATTTGGGGAGGGCTAACATATACAGTCTGGGGAAGGCTAGGAAGAGAAGGCATGACCCATGTTGGGTAAAGGCTTTCCAGTGTGCATACCCTCAGGTCATACATACACCTCATCAACCCCTCAGTTATCTGGAAGCTTTTGAGAGGGATCTGACGCTGATTCTAACCAGTGCAACAGCTATCAAAATACATGAAAGCAAATCCTGAATCCATCACTCTAGAGTCCAGCCTTGGAAGACAAAAATGAAGGGGAACCCGATAGAGGGATGCTTTTGGAAACCCTTGTCAAGAAATTCCAATGGACTCTCACATGAACATTTGAAGATTGCCCTGTTCTGACTTTTTTCAAGTTCCTTGTCTAGAACTTGTAATGCTGATTACTCTTGCCCTTACATATCCTATTCATGATTCAAAGACTTTCTTTTCCCCCTCGAGCTAAGAGTTATGCAATTTGGGAGTCTTTTAGATAGACCCACTGAAGGGGCACTCCAATTGCCTCACCCTGTGTTCCTGTTCAGCATGGAAGAAGCCAGAGTGGTCTGTGTCCTGATTCCCTATTGGCAATTTGGGTAATTTCTTCAGAGGATGGTATGATGAGAATAGGAGGTAGGAATTAGCTAGGCAGTTAGGGTAAAAAGACCCCAAAGAAAAGTAGCCAGTTTCTTGGCTAAAATTCACAATGTCCTTGGGCCTCTTAGCAACTTACTCCATTCCAAAGGCCAAAAATATCAAAAGTATTTGGGAGCTTTTATCTAATCCTTAAAAGATTTTAGGGTTACCTCTTCAGAGGGGGGCATGTTACAGTAGCCAAAAGCCCCATAAAAATAAATAAGAAAGAAAAAAAAAGAAAAAATTGTATATTTTATTATATATCACCTGAACACATCAGGGTATTTTTACACAATAATGAGTTTCCTTATGACACTCTTACATGTATATTATGTATTTGGTCATATTCATTCCCAGTTGCCTTGTTGTCCCCTCTACTCCTGCTGATCCGTTTCCTTTTCCTAAGTCCTCCTGTTTTCATGTCTTTGTTTTTGGAGATTCAGTGAGATTCTTTAGGGCTGTTTATAGGAGCATGATGAGGGGTTATTTACAGGACCATGGGAACCTTATCAGTGGCTTTACCACTGAAGAAAATGTCTCTCCTCCCCTAGCAGCCATTAATTGCCTATACATCTTCAGTGGGGGATATGCCCTTGTGAGCCCTTCCTCCCTCGCTGACAGGACCAATCTTGTACAGGTTTTATGCAGGTAATCACAGTTGCTGTGAGTTCAAGAGTGCCATGGCTTTGTCATATCCAGAAGAGAGCATTACAACACTCTACCTCTTCCTCCAGGCTATTACATTCTTTCCATCCCTACTTCAGTGATGTTCCCTGAGCCTTGGAGGGGGTGATAAAATGTCCCATTTTAGAACTGAGCACTCAAACATCACTTAGTTTCATCACTTTGACCAGTTATATGTCTCTAAAATTACTACCACCCACTGCAGAAAGAAGTTTCTCTGACTAAAGCTGGACAGCACTAATCTGTGGCCATAAACACAGTTACTTAGAAGGCAGTTTGACAGATAACATGTTCACTAGTGAGGCAACAGCAGTAGAGCACCCCCTAGGACCTAGGACCTATGACCTCCTCAGCCACTGGCTTTTGACAAACTTTACACTAACAGATGTGTATTCCCTCCTGTGGATCTAGCCTTAAATCCAATCAGATGCAGTTGGTGACTCCTGTAACAGACCTGCTGCTCCAGCACCAGTGTGCATGATTTGCAAGGCCAGTTTCATCTTGATTAGGCAAAAAGTATTTAAAACGTTATATGGTTCTTTTGTTCAATAATTATCCCAACTTGTTTGCTCATCAAAGGTTGATAGCAAGTCTGCCTATCTTTTAAACATTTTTTTAATTTATTTTTTTTTAAACTTAAATTTTATTTTTTATTTTATGTGTGTGCATGTATTGCCTGCATGTACAGGTGTCGTACAATGCCCAAGGAGGTCAGAAGAGGCTGTCGGATCCCCTGGGACTGGAGTTAAGGACAGTTAGCTGCCGTGTGGGTGCTGGGATTCGAACCCAGGTCCTCTGCAAAAACAACCAGTGTTCTTAACTGCTGAGCCATCTCTCTAGTCCCAAGTCTGCCTATCTTATACGCAAGAAGTGCTTGGTCTGATTAGCTAGTGTTGCAACAAGTCACACAGCATGCGTGAGCTTTACAAATCAGGGAACTATTATGCAGGTACTTTTAATGCCATCAGAAATAAACTGGCCGTTGTATTAAAACATTTAAGTATGAATCATTTAGGACAGAAGAAAAAGCTGTAGGGATTTCATCGTCAAGCTGTTTCTTAAAAATGGGAATATTTGCCGGGCATGGTGGTGCACGCCTTTAATCCCAGCACTTGGGAGGCAGAGGCAGGCAGATCTCTGTGAGTTCAAGGCCATAGTGAGTTCCAGGACAGCTAGGGCTACAGGGAGACCCTGTCTCAAAAAGACCAAAAAAGTAGGGGGTGGGGGGAATATTTGAGGAAGGTGGGAAGAATTAAGAATAATACGAGAGTTTCATTTAGAGCCCTTCCACAGGGCTGGAGAAATGGCTCAGAAGTTAAGAGCTGGCTGACCTTGCAGAGGACCCAGGTTCAGTTCTCAGCACCCACATGAAAGCTAACAACTGCCTATCTGTAACTCCAGCTTCAGGGGATCCAGCGCCCACTTCTGACCTCCATTATATACACGCAGGCAAAACATTCATACACTAAATGAAAACATAAAATCAAAAATTAAAGTATAAAAGCAGCAGCAGTAGTCTTGCTGTTCACAGCTCTTACTAAAAAGTAAAATTCTGGAGGTAAAGAGATGGCTTAGTGGTTAAGAGTACTGGCTGCTCTTGCAAAGGACCAAGGTTCGATTCCCAGCACCCACATGCCAGCTAACAACTGTCCATAACTCCAGTTCCAGGGGAATCTGACACCCTCTTCTGACTTCCATGGGCATTGTACAACATGGGTGGGCTTACATACATGCAGGCAATACACTCACACTCACACACACACACAAAATAAAGACAATATGCCAGGCATGGTGGTGCATGCCTTTAATCCCAGCACATGGGAGGCAGAGGCAGGTAGATCTCTGTGAGTTCGAGGCCAGCCTGGTCTACATAGTGAGTTTCAGTAGTTTGGGGCTACAGGGAGACCCTGTCTCAAAAAGACCAGAAATTAATAATAATAAGTAAATAAATAGAATAAAATAAAAATTCCCCAACCTGAAAAAAGACACTTTGGTCTAATTGTAACCTCCGTCTCAGCTTCACAGGATAATGCAGCTGGCTGTGGTTGTGTCAGAAGTACTTGAGAATGGATCTTCGGTTTTAGTGTGTTTGGAAGAAGGCTGGGACATCACTACACAAGTAAATTATTATATATGTTTTCCAATGTTTGCTTTTATATTTGAATTTCAGTTTAGTTTTTTAAAATATTTTATTGAGCTTTCATTTCATACAATAGTTCTTAATTTTTTTAAATTTGGAAGTGATTATTTTGTATAATGACTAATGTGTTTATCAACAGAGAAAGTTTCCTACTAACTACCACCTGACAGTCCTTTAGGCAGCTCTGTGCAGTGAGGAATCAGCCATTCCATAGCTCTGGTTCAGATATCAGGCTTCCACTTACACAGAGTCACCATGTAAGCTTGCAGATAGAGCCTTTGACTAGCAGTGTGGGACACGGACCATCCTTGCTGGGTTCCCTGCTTTCTTTCTTCAGCTCTCTCAAAGCCCCATGTTTACTCCACAAAGGAAAAAGGAAAATTCGTATGAATGCCAACCACAGTAAGATATTAACATACTCCTGCCAAAGAGTATAATAGGTCTGAACTGATTACCCAGTGCCATTAATTAAGCTAGAAAAGCCACAGTCAGCAAACTGGCCAGGGAATCTTAATTCCCTGAAAGAAAGCACAGAGCCAAAATGAATTTGGTTTTTTGTTTTTTTTTTTTTACTGGAAAATGTTTAGAATTCATTTGATTGTCCATCCTGGAGCAGTTAGTCAACAGATTTGCTCTCTAGGTAACTTTGCTTGTAAATTAGCTATCATCAAAAGGTAATGCTTTTATCTTAGCAAGAGGACTTTTTCAGGACTAAAATTAATGAAATGTCCATCCTGCTTGTACCTTAGGTGACATCCCTGGTGCAGTTACTCAGTGATCCCTTTTATAGGACAATTGAAGGCTTCCGGATGCTGGTTGAAAAAGAGTGGCTCTCCTTTGGCCATAAATTCAGTCAGCGGAGCAGCTTGACCCTTAACTCTCAGGGTAGTGGTTTTTCTCCAGTCTTCTTACAGTTCTTAGACTGTGTACACCAGGTAAGTAAGGCTTAAAGTGACCTAATATGAAGGGAATGTTGTGCCAGGCACCTGCTGTCATAACAGCCACAGGACAAGCTGGACTCTTAACAGTAGACTCCTGGGAATGGAGAAGAAAGAGAACAAATTGGTTACTGAAACTACAGCCAATGAGCTGGCTGCTGGGTTCGCCCCCAAGTAAGAAAGTCAACATTTTAAATTACCATCTCCAAAAAAGAACAAACTTGGACCTCTTCTCCAAAGTTTAGACTAAAACAGCAAAATGTCTCTTCTGGTATACCCTGAAATTGCACACATGGTCTTCTCGGTTTGGGCAGGCCCTACCACATGCCTGGGCACAAGATGTAGAGCCTAATCCTTGAGAAATAATTAGGGCCCAGCCAGGCAGGCTGATGAGCTTGAGAACAGTGGCTTACTTTGATAGGGTAGCCAAATTGGAGCTAATCAAAGCCGTACAGAGGCCTATGTGTATAATCCAGTCAAACCCAGTGAGGGAGAGGAAGCAGTGTTCCCTGCCCTCTACCATCTTCTGAGGCATAGCAGTTAGACTCCCCTTGCTGGATCCATGTTCAGGATTGGGACAAAGACGTGGATGACACACTGGGCATGAAATTGACCTTGTATGTAAAGCAGCACTAACATTGCCAGCTTTGCTTCATCTGCACTTTAACCCCCAGGGTAGAGGAATAGTTTCTGGCATGTCAAACTTAACATTGAGCCTCTGATATGTCTCCTGGAACGAAAGGTGGGAATAGTTAGAAATTGAAAGTAGGTCTTCTGTAGAGCCCAAGTTAACATACAGTTAATGTTTTTTGTTGTTTTTATTCTGTTAATCATTTGCTTTTTAAAATAATAGCTTTATTGAACTATCATTTATATATCATATAGCTCACCTATTTAAATGTATATTTCTATTTTTTAGTGTATTCACAAAATTATAAAACCTTTACCACTCTTTGGAACATTTTTATCACCCCAGTAGAAACTCTGTACCCATTAGCAGTGACTATCCATCTCCTGTCTAACTCTACACACAGAAGGCTGTTTGTGATAACTCTGTTCTCTTGTTGAAGAAAAGACCTGTTGAATGGTTTGTATCTATCCATACAAGCAGTATTTGGGATACTGGTAACAGGGATGACCTTAAATTTTGAAAATCCTTGCGACTAATAGTGTATGTGTTTTCTATTTGAGTATTAGCTTTTTATTCATAGTCCTTTTGACAAATAGAAGAAGTTTGGAGACTTCTATTTATCTGAGGCCAAGAGCGAAGAGCAAGTCTCTCTTAGCTCTCATATAGGTAGACAAAGGCATGAGGATCAGGGAACTGTTTGATACTCTAATTTCAGTAGGGATGACTTAGTTGTGTATCATGACCAAAACTAATGAAACTATGTGCTTCAAACAGAGAAATTTTATTCCATATAAAGTTTACTTTAAAAACCTGAAAAAAAGCCGGGCCTGGTAGCACACACCTGTAGTCCCAGCACTTGGGAGGCAGAGGCAGGTGGATCTCTGTGAGTTCAAGGCCAGCCTGGTCTACATAGTGAGTTCCAGGACAGCTGGGGCTACAGGGAGACCCTGCTTCAAAAAGACAAAAACAAACAAACCAAAAAAAAAAAAACTGAAAAAAAAGTCATAGTAAGTACAAAATCTCAATAAATTGGAGTTCCACAAAAAGAAAACAGCAGTGGTCTTTCAGAGAATTTGTAAATCTGGTATCCAGAGAGGGCTTGGGAGTCTGCCTGCTTTCTGGCAACAGGGCAGGAAATGAGTCCAGAGGGATTCCATAATGTTCAGGATACAGACTGTTAACTTTTTCCATGCTATTTTCAACCAAGTCTCATCACTAACCCAACTGTGCCTAGTGTTCCCAAGTTTAAAATTTATCTACTTTGGTTTTTCTAGGAACTAATCATTCAAAGTCTTGCTCTAGAAAGGGTAATCATACAACAGCATGAGGTAGGAAGGGTCTCCAGAGTCTAGCCACTGCCTCTGTAGACTTCTAACTGGTCCCTACTTTAGCTTCCACTTATCTCTACGTACTGTTTTGGGGCCTCAGTGTCTTAAGCTTTTCTGGGTTTACACAGCAAATTAAGTTCTCAAGTCACTTTCCTCCTGCATGTGTCCATCCCTCGCTGCTGGTCTCCTATTCTGTCTTTCAAACTGTGCTGAGTTGTTTTGGGCTTGTTTTCGTGTCCTCCTTCCATTTTCCCCATTCCTTTTTTGATGTTTTTACCTTTAAAAATTCCTTTCTAGCCAGGCATGGCAGATTACACCTGTAATCCTAGCACTTAGGAGGCAGAGAGGCAGGAAGATCCTCGCAAGTTGTTCCAGGCCAGCCTGGTCTACATAGCCAGGCCCAGCCAGGGCTACATAGTGAGACTATAAGGGGGAAAAAATTCCTTTCCTTTAATGGGGAAAAGATTTCAGAGGAATGAGCTTATTGTAGCTGAATTTAGCTTAAATTTAATATACTACTAAATTAAATTTCTGTGTTCAGCGTACAGAATTCTGCATAGCTAAACATTAGTGTTAGCAAAAAAGGCATTCATAATTAATGAATATATAAGACATACTGCTCAGAGATAGGAGAAATGCTTTTAACTTTATTGTTGAGGGTAGAATATGAGGGTAAGGAGTCTGAGTACTGAGAGAAAATCTGTGTTCTGTGAGTCCCTTCAGTGATATGAATAAAGCAGTTTAACATAAACTAAAATGAGATATATTTCTACTTTCTTTAGGGTATATTATAATAGATGCCAAAACTAAAAAAAGAAAAAGATACTGTTAGTTAACCTGGCATAGAGGTTTAATTTCTCATATCTTTTTTTTTAAATGCTAAATTCAAATGTTCTATACAAACTACTTGACTGCAAATCAAGAAACAAAAGTAGACTTTTAATGAAAATGCAATGGTTTGCAAGTGAATGCTTCATAAACTGTAGAATGTAATATTGTTCAGGGTCTGAAGGCCCTATTAGTATGATTTCAATTCTAGCTGTATGATGTTAAAAAAATTTTTAACTGAAATATGATTTTTTAATTTGTCTGAATGTGCCTTTAACATAGTACCTCAAGCACATTCACCCAAGTGTAGACAGGTCATGACAAAGGGTTCATGTAACCTTAATTGCAGTAGTTTAGGGATGCTTGGCTGTGATAGGTATCATCCTTTATGAAGCAAATTATTTTGTGTTAAAGAGGGATTGTTTATCATTTGAAAACAGAGGAATCCAAGGAGTCCATAGTTAACAAATAGTGCTTCTGACTCTTGTTGACTTAATTATAAGGTAGTATTTCCTCATCTCCTACATTCTGGGTTTTAGGCATTAGAAAATGCCTTCTTTGAATGCCTTTCAAGTGAACACCAGTGCTCTACATGCCCCTGACTTTGCCAAATAATTCAAATTAGTGCTGTCCTCAATCTCTAGGACACAAAACAGAGACAGACCCAACAACATTAAACAAAAATAAGTTCAGAATTTCACAGCAGCAAGCGAAATTTTCCTGGGGTGGAATGTGTTCCCTGCTTGTTTAACCATTTATAACACACTGAGTGACAAAAGGCAGTTCGTGGACATATGCCTAGACTTGTCCATTAGTCCTAATAAAGCTACAAAGAAAACAGATGAAGCACTGATCTTAAATTAGAAATGTCTCATCATATAAAAAGCCATTGTTTATGCCAGTATATCCAGGTGTCAAATGAATTGTAAATGCTAGATCGTTGTTTCATAATAGCAACATCTGGCAGATTTTTTTTGCTACTTCTAAAAGTAATTGGCCTAACTGAAAAGATATCATTACAGGATGCTTCCTTTTCTTGAAATAATTCAACCAAATCCTTTAAAAGAAAAATATATTCAAAACATAAAAATGAAATTTCTACCTAAAATTTATTTTTAAAGCATAGTACTAGGGCCAGTGAAATGACTTAATGGTAAAGGTGGAGCCAAACCAAGAGTGATGACCTGAGTTCAGTCCCAAGATCCCATATGATGGAAGGAGAGAACCCACTCCTGAAAGTTGTCCTCTCACCTCCATACATGCTTCATTCCAGGTGTGCATCTGTGCACACACACACTCACACACAAATAAATGTGGGGGGCTGGAGAGATGGCTCAGCAGTTAAGAGCACCAACTGCTCCTGCAGAGGACCGAGGTTCCATTCCCAGCACATACATGATGCCTAACAACTATTTATAACTTCAGTTCAGTGAATCCAATGCCCTCTTCTGACCTGCAGGCATTGCACACACATGGTGCACTTGTGTGTGTGTGTGTGTGTGTGTGTATATATATATATATATATATATGTAGGTAGTACACTCATGCACATAAAATAAAAATAATATCTTAAAAATACTTTTAAAACCAATGGAAAATATGTATAATGTGAATAAAAATGTGAAGTGCAAGAAATGATTGCTTTAGTTTCAGCATTAGAATAAATCTTTAGGGACTGGAGAGATGACTCTGTGGCTAAGAGCACTGGCTGCTCTTGCAGAGGACCCGGGTTCTATTCCCAGCACCCACATGGCTGCTAACAACCATCTGTAACTCCAGTTCCAGGGAATCCAATGCCTTCTTCTGGCCTCTGCAGGTATTGCATGACATGGGTGCACTTACACACATGCAGGCAATACACGCATACAAATAAAATAAAAATAAATAAAGTCAGGCATGGTAGCACATGCCTATAATCCCAGCACTCAGGAGGCAGAGGTAGGTGGATCTCTGTGAGTTCCAGGCCAGCTGGGGCTATAGGGTAACCCTGTCTCAAAAATATAATAATAAATAAAATTTTTAAAAAGAATAAATCTTTCACATTTCCTAGAACTTTTTCATATATCCTACGTTGAGAGACCTAACAGTGTTAACTTTGCCTTCAGAGTTTATTCACATTGGCTCACTCTGGCCTGATGGTTACTGTTAACTGTATGCCAACACTAGGAAGGTCCTAATCCAAATGTGAAAGCTGTTTTTCCCTTTGAAGA